CGCCGCTGCACGCGCCCGCTCGGGGCGGTGGGAGCCCTGCGCCGCGGGGCGCAGCGCCCGCTCCCCGGGACGCCTCAGCCATCTTGACCGCGCCGCGCGGGGGGAATCAAAGGCAGGAGGCAAAACACAAAAGCCCCCCCGAGTCTGTTGGCTGCGCTAACAGCGTCCTCTCCCCTCCCGTCCGACTCTATTTAAATGGACACGCGGATTACCCCGGTAGGGAGGAAATGGGCAATTATGGGGCCATAAACACGTTTAGCGTGTAATCACCGCGGTAATTGCAACCCCCCCTCGACCCCAGCGCCCACCTGAGGGGAGGTTTTGCGTCCAGGCGTGCCGGAGGAGTCAGTGCTTGGGGACGGGGCCGTCCCGCTCCGGGTTTCACATCCCGGGCTGTGACATCACTACGACATACGTAGCGGTATTTAGGTCAAAATCAGAACTTTCCCAAAAGTAGCAGATGGCTGGTTTAGTGCTAATTTGGTTAATACCCTCCTGAAAAGTATCAGGAGCTTGAGCGATGAAGAAGACGGAACGAAAAATTTGTCCTCTGGCCGAGATCACCGTGACTGTCAGAGGTCTAAAAAGTCTCTTTGCAGTCCTGGATGTGATGCTCCATTTCAAGAAGTGATTGTTGTGCTGGTGGCTGCTTGAGGAATACCTTATGTAAAAATCTCTACAGAATGTAAAAACGAGTGAGCCTAGTCAGGAGAGCTGGGTGAGTCTGTAAATTACAGCTCTGTCAGGATTCCTATTGCCTATTACAAAGTACCTTTTTACGCTGAACTTAAGCTCTACGCTACAGAGACAGCAGATGTGAGGTGATGGCTTCCAAAAGCAACACAGATGCTGTAAAATTTCCATTGCAATATTTCAACAAGGAAACTCAGGAGACATGCTGAACGCTACAGTTTAGAATTACACTCTAACTCCCCTAGAAATAAGAGAATACCAAGTTTCTCAACAGTACACTTGGCTTCATTTTTACTGTAATTCGTATGCTCTTGTTTTCTTACAGCATGAAAAGAGATGCAGCACAAAGATACTGTGTGTCTTGAAGCTGTTCGGTAATGACAAAATTGGTAATGCAGAACTTTATGGCAATTTAGTAACAACTGCATATCCAAATTCCCTAGTAAGACCATGATAATTTTTGAAATTGCCTTTCAGGTATATAAAACAGCACAGCTGTGGGGAGGCTGCTTTACTTCATATGACTGAAAAGCAGCCTGGATAGCTCAAGGCTGTGGAACCACAGCCCATTGTATATTCCTCATGTACTGAGACTTCCCTGAGGTCAGAAGTTCCGAGATGAAGGAATCAAGGGTCAAGTCTTTAAAATGGTTTGTGTGTTTATTCCAGAAAGTATAGCAGCAGCTTTTTCAGAAAAGCTGAGCTTTCTTATAGCAGTACAGATTAATGTAGAGCACTTCTTTGCAGGGGTTTCAAAACAGTTGACCAGTCATCAAATCATGCTGAAAGACAAAGCTGTCAAGAAAGTTACAGATACTACAACCTTTTGCAAACCTATAGATTTGACAACTCGTAGATAACACTCCTACAGGTCTTTGTTGCCACAGATACTTGTGCCTCTTTTATTCAGACATTTGGGTCTGTCACTATCCTTCTAACGTAAGCTTCGTTTTTGTGTGCAGCTAAGGCTTGGCATTTAGGTTTATATGGATCACACCAAACCAGGTAATGGCAACTACAGAGCATTTTAGTTTGAGATTAGTAAATTGGCTCTTGCTTTTATTATTTTTTTTTTTTTTTACTGGTATTTTGTTTATTTTAAAATACAGATGTTTTGTCTGTTTGAAAAATTGGTTTTTAATTCCCACCTAATGTTCTCTAGTACATTTTAGTATGGCATTGTCTGCATTGGGTAGATCAAAAAGAAGAACTCAGTCCATGGAAATTGTTCAAATAATCTTGTTAAAATGAATCCTTGTCTGAAGGCAGTAATTTCATGGATTGAACCCAGAAGGGACTGTCTAGGCTGATCTCCTTCCCATGTCAGGCCACAGAGTTTTATCCAGAGACTGTCTACGCAAATACGGTTTAGCTGCAAGACACAGGAGATTTTGCCTGGCCAATACGTTGAGCGACACCATGAAACTAGAAACTGTGAAACTTGAGGACAGGGTAAATGGAAGTAGGAAGAAGGAGTATTTTTACAGGCGTGTTAGTAGACGACGTAAGGTGGAGTTGTGGCTTCTTACTAAAAGTACCAATTAAAAGTAAGAGAAACTTTTTTCCAATCCATCCTTTTCTCTCACATGCCACATGTAGTCCAGAACCGAGCAATGTGATGGGCAGTCTGGTTAATGGAAGGAACGCATTGTTTTGTACTTCTACACGTCTGCAAAGCAGAAATGATGAGTAAAAATCCAGCACTGTGAAACCTGCAAAGAAATGGGGATGGGAGAGTACGGCATGCATATGTATCTTATATTTTAATAGATATTTTTCTTTTCACAAAAAAATTAAATGGCATTGATGCATCTTCTGAGGCAGCCTGTCTTTTATTGTGGTTCATGAGAACTTTTTGTAGACAAGAACAATATTCTGCTTACATCTTTTCAGGGATGTCAGACTGATCATGGATGGGCACAGTACCATGGTGCTGCTGTTGGTCAGTGAGACATGAGAGAGCCTTTAGGCAAGAATAAAACAGGCTGAATGCAATCAGCTGCAGTAGCTACTTTTGGAGTGCAGTGAGCAGGTGGCAGAGAAGGAGGAGAAACTGCTGGAAGAGTACTTTGCTGTCCCTTTACTTTAAAGGAGGATGACAAAGTGATTGATCACTGCTGTGTTCTGAGGATTGCTCCAACAGTGAACCTGCAGGTTGTGGCCCTGAATGTGGCTGGAGGATTTTCTGCTGAACATAGGAGCAGACGATGATTAGACTTCTTCCCCAGGCTGCTTTGGATGTGTAGACTTCGCTAGGGAAGCAGCATGAGCAGCAGAATGAGCATAAGAAGTCAGTGGGAACAGCAGTTTAGCATGAGGGCGACATAAGATCAACCTTACCTTTATTCTCCCACACTATGCAGTTGATGATTGGGCTGTGGTGTATTGGCTCACGCATTGTAATCGTATGTTGCTTCATTTCTCATTAGTGAAACAGTGCAGGAGGAAGGAATGAAAGAAAAGATGGATTATGAAATAAAATAAGTGTTATTGAGAGCAATCTTTTTCATTTTCCTTAATACTATTTTCTAATTTTTGCTCATTTTTTAGCAAGTTTTATTTATAATCTACCTGTGCTATAGATTGTAATACCTCATGGTGTGATGTTTCACACATGATAAATCATGTGACTTTTGAAGGCAAACTGTCCTACATTAAACAGTCCATCGATCCATTGTTACCATGTTTGGAGAATAATACAAATATCATGCAGTTGAATTGCTAACTATATGAAGTATGTATGGACATAGTGAGTAGCATTGTCTTCCTCTGCCCAGGTAACAATTAATTTACTTTCTGGCAACTGCTAGGACATTAGTATGTAAATGCACTCTTGAATCTCAGGAAGGTTATGTGGATCCAGGCTGTCAAGGAGCAGTTTGGTTTCTGTGGATAACATGAGAGTATACACATGCACCACTCTCTCCTGAAAGCAGCAGCTTGTCCAGACCTCTAGCACGCCAGTGACTTCAGCGGCTATATTTGTGATTCTCTCTCCATGCTCCATCAAAATGTTGTTAATGTTCATATATGCTCAAAGGGCACATGCACCATCGTTACTGCTAGCATGGGTTGGGAGTCTATTTGGTCGGTCTTCAGTTTTGGAGACCTCAGCTTTAACAACTTGGGTATGAGCCCCTGCAAAGCTTCTGTTACACACCCACTGCTACTGCACAGCCACCTGGCTTACCCGACTGAGCTGTAGCCCTCTGAGGTGGGCAGCTTCCAAATCAAAATTACAATCTGGCCTTAAGATGGGATGGCATCCATGTGTCTTGTCTTTGATGTCAGATCTACCGGAGGAATTAAGGACGCTTATTTAACTTTGTGGCATCTACATTTGGGTTGGGTGATAGTGGAGGACAGAATAATAGCACAAGTCACTCTTACCGACTCAGTATTGATGCTGACAGGGTATAGGTACCACAACAGAGAAGCTGCGGAGTGCTGGGTTCTCTCTCATATACTGTAAATCAGAGTTGGAGCAGCTCACACTGCAAGAAGTAAATATGAAGGGCTTTGAGCTAAGGATGCCCCATCTGCAGTAGGCTAGTCTGGGTTGTGTGAGTTGATGCAGAGACAAGATTAGGCAGTGTAGTCCATTTTGACTTACTAACTTTTGCAAAAACTATACGGAGACCTTAGCTTACATGTATGCCCTCTCACATACTGTAAATTAAGTGAGAAATTAATGAGAAACTTATGAGTAAGAAGTGATCTGAAGAAAAAATGCCACTCTGTTGAAATGCATGGGTAAGGATAAAACCCAGATACGAGAAAGCAAAACTTTGTATAACTGATTTGAGGAGGAAGGTGCGTCATTAAATCCTTGAACAATGCATTGTTCATAAATTCTGATACTACTTTTTGCCCCCTCAGTTATGGTATAATTACTCAGTAATGGTATAATTTAAGAGAATAATATTTTGCATACATGTTTGAAGAGGACTTTTTAAAGTTTCACTGTTTCCAATCCCAACTTTTGATGGAGGATGCACAGTAGTAATTTTTAAACTATTGAATGATAAAAACCACACTGAGAAATCCTTACTGAAATTACTCATTACCCTGGAGTTAAAATGGAAATAACAAACATATCTTTCATCACTCATTTTGAATATTTATTCTTTGTATTTCACTTACTCCAAACAGATTTTTTTATCTCTAGGGTTATATCCTGACTAATCCTCCACTGTGCTAATTTTGCTGGGACAACACATAAGCGGCTGGTGATTCCAAATATGAATAAGGACAGCAGGCTTGGGCTTGTGCTGATTTTGATGAATAAATTGGCCTCAAGAATGACAAATCGTGTTAGCACTTTTCACTTTATAATGTTAGACAGTCAAAGATGTTAACTGTGCCGGGAATCAGCATTAGACAGTGTTTGGAACTGCTTATATGGAACTCTCAGGTGCCTAGTCTCAGCAGAAACTTGCTCTTAAAAACCTTTCTCTGTTTTGGTAAAAGAATGGTGTGATTGCAAAGCAAATTGTTTAGAGAAGTTTCACTGTAATAGCAAAATGCCCTTCCTTTTGTTTTACCCACTCAGTTTTCAATAAGGATATTCGTTTAACAGACCCTTTGAATTATAGTGGTTCTTGGTGCTAATGATGGCAGTAATAGTCCTCTGTGTGTGTGGTGGGGGAAAAGAAAATTGTACCCCACTGATATGAGAAGTTTTGCTATTGTCTGTTGTGGGCTTGCAATGGTGTTACAAAAGATGCAGTCTTGATTTATTTCTTGTCTTTTATTCCTCTTATTTATACATTTATTTTGCCTTTGGGGTGGGGGGATACAACTGTAGGGCAGGAAACACTCGCAAGGGAAGAGGTAGATATTAGAAATTTTGTTCTAACATTGTCCCTGGTAGTATTAGTTGGGTGCTTCCCTGTCATGGTCTGGTCAGGGCCTGTTTCTGGATGAGAATTTTTCCAGTGGATTGCGGGGTTCCAAAAAAAAGGGGTGATCTCAGCAATAATGGGATAGCCGTTACTCTCACTTTTTATTGCATTAGCCTTATCAAATTTATTCTTTCTGGTTAATTCACTGAATTCCCTGAAAGGGAATAATAAATGGAACATCTAGTTTTCTTGTCACTTTGCCAATTTTGCTATACAGATTTTTTTGTATTACATTACCTAGTAAGTGTCGCCATTGTTTGAATCTTCTCTTCATCCTTTGCTTTTGTATGTTACGTTGGTTGGTCTTTTAATACAATTTAAGGCTCATACACTGTTATCTGTACCCCATCTAATGAGCCCTTATTATTTTTGTTTGGTTTTAGCTCTTTGGCTTTTGAACAGTCCTGCTAACAGGATGGCTATGGAAAATTTGAAACATTTTACTGCCATTTAAAGTTTTTCTGATTTGTGTAAGCATGGACCCAGATGCTAGGTTTGAATTTGCAGGTTAACGAATAAGACCTTGCTTGACCCATGAAATTTCCTGCATGAATTTTTGATAAAAAATACAAAGCTTTTTTCATTTTTGTCTTAATTTTCCAGGAAAAACTACATGCTTGGACAGAATTCAGAGGACTGAAAGGCTTTGTCTGAACACTAAAACTTCTTGATTTGAAGAATGTTACTGTAGTCCTCCTCCAACATTATAATCTGGATGCCTTCTGGTCCTGTTCTGCAAGGCTGAGGCTGCCTACCTCCTTCAACACTGTGCCATGGTCTTTCCTTTTTGAAGGGAGTGCTGGAAATAGGGAATCCCTCAAAGTGGTAAGTCTAGTTGATAGAGGAGATCTGCCACATAAAGCAGGTAAGCCACAGATTTAATGCTACACACTAACATTTCTTAATAACATCTTTTGTTTGCAATCAAAATATTTTGGTTTGTAACTTTGGCTTTTTGGTAAGAAAAGTATATTTGCAGAAGCACATACTTAGACATGCCAAAAAAAAAATTCCAACCGAAAAGTGTTTAGCTGAAAGCCTCGTTTCCCATCAAAAATAGATGCAGTGGAAAATTTTCAAGCAGCCCTATATTTAACCTTCTTGGATTAAAATTCAGTTGTTGGACTAAGGGAGGTTCACAGAGGGTTTTTTGCCGCTTTTGTTAGGGTGTCTGTTTTTTCACTCATGACATCTGCCTGCTTTTCCAGCTATATCCAACCTTGTTATAATTCTTGCTATTGCAGCATTTTACTGCTCTCAGAATGCTAGTTCCCACTGGATTTAGCTTGATGGGATATGTGCAAACTCCAAGTTTCTTTCAAGGGGTGTGTCAATCTTTCTTTTTAATTTTGGCTGCATTTTAATAAGTAAATATGAGTAGCTGTATCCACTGAACACCAAATATGCACAAAACAGAGCAATACAATTCTTAGTTCTTTGCCCAAGGTAGCCTTGCTTTGGGGTGTTGTGGATGCAAACAGGATACGTGAGTTTAAGGGGTAATGGATTAAGTGTTTGAAAGAGAAAACCCATTGGGCAAGCTAAACAGATAAATCACATCAGTCTCAGGAATTCCTGAGTGGACTATAGTTGAAGGCTGGGGAATTATTCTGTAAAAATACTGTATTTGATTTCTTTGTTCATGCTCTCTTTTCTTGGCTCTGAATTGTGGCTGCTTTTGGAAGCAGGACACTGAGCTATATGGACCTTTGATCTGAATTGTCATAGCTATCCTTGGGTAAGGAGAAACACACTGATAAATGAGTAAGTGTGGGCTTTGGCAATCTGGAATTCAGTAAAAATTATCAGTAATGTAACTTCTTCCTTCAAGAAAAGTGTAAGCCAATCACTAAAGATAGGATCACAGGGATAGAGAACTTCATCTGAATAGGTTATGATTTCTGTTGATTTTATTTTTTTTTTCTTTTGGGGCTTCTATTTCACTTTCATTTCTTCTTGTAGCAGTAATAGTTTGCTACAACCGTGTCTTAAATACAACTGTGAGCCTTTTTGGATGTTCTTCCAAAGTTGGTGGATAGAACATTAGTGTATGACTCCTGCAGAGTTCAGTGGACTTTGTATTAAGACAAGAGAAAACAAAGCAAATATTGACATTCAGGCAGGAAAACTGTTAATGATCTACATTGGTTTTAGTATGTGTTATATTCTGTCATTAGTTCAGTGTTAGAATGCAGTTTGTAGCCAGAATATATCAGCAACTGGCAACATGTGGTGTTTCTTAAGCAAAAGTTGATTATTGTTCTTTATTGCTTGTTTTGCATCTTAGCACTCTTACAGAAATATCTTTCCATATATTTTTAACTTTGTTTTCATGGCAATTTTATTTAGAACACTTCACGACTGCTAAGCAATACTATGCTTTTTTAGCCTTCACAGGCACTAATGATCAAATCTGTAAATGAGCATATGCTTAGTTTGGTAAGACAGCAGTTAATTTTTTTTCTGTATCTTTAATAAACTCTTCAGAAGTTTTATAATTACCTGAAAGTAGATATGTTGTTATACTCTTGTGTACTTAAATTTACTTGGTTTTGTCCAAAATTGACTAATATTGATCAAAATAGATGGTGTCTTTTCTATTTCTTTTCCTGACAGGGTCTACATTAGAGTACATATCAGTAGCTAACCCGTAATTTCCCTCTTCCTTGTTATTATTTTAGAATTATTTAAAATAAATATTTGCAAGAAAAGGTAATAGCCAGACAACGTTTGAAAGGAAGCAATGGTTTGAGTATTGTTGAGAAAGAGATTTGTCATTCTAGTACCAAAATTGTGGCGGGAAAGAGAACAGAGAAAGGAAAGTACAGTATTGAAGTATAAGAGTAAGCTTCTATGGTACCACTTTCCAGCTGTTCTTCTGTGGAATCCAAATATTTTTTGAAGCATAATGCTACACAGTCAAGTAATTATTTTATAAGGAAGAAGTTTTAGCACATCAGAATTCATGAGTTGGAAAAAGTAGCAAAAAAATTCTGTCCATGCTTTCTTAAAAATGAAGTGAAAATATGTACATTCTTTTAAAATGAATTTAGAAAATTCATTTGAAGTGAGAGATTGTAATTGTGTCTCTAAAGTGTGTCAAGAATAGCGAGAATAGTGCAACCTCTCTCACATCATTTGTATGCCTTAATCTGAATCTTAATGATAGTGTCAAGAAGTGAGAAGCAAGCGGAGTTGCCAAATCTGTCCGCTCTTTTGAAACTGGAAGAATTGTGGGAAGTAATTGGGTGCGAAATAAACATGTGTTCACAAGTAATTGGACTGAGACTATTACATTTCTTTCATTTCAGTAGTAGGTAGTAACTACTTAAACTTCAAGGAAAAGAGAAGATTACATCCCGTAAAACTTCCTTATGCAAAATAATCTATCCTCATGTCAGTGATCCTGGTTACTTTAAAGTGTCTGCTTGCCTGAGAAAAGGGTTGTCAAATCAGGTTTTTACATGGGAGAAGGGATTAGGAAACAACAAACTCCAACCTGCAGTGGGAGTTAACTTCTGGGGGTGTGGGATAGAGAATGGACAATGAATGTCACCATCTTTTCAATGTTCAGTACTATCAAAACTGTTTTTCTTCCAGGTAACCCTCTATTGGCAGAAAATATGTGAGTCAGTGAAGGAAAATGGTATGGTAAAATACATATAAAGAATCTCATGCCAAAACCCAGAGAGTCAAGACTGTTTAAATAGGCTTCATTCTGTTTGTAAACAAAAATAACTTCAATATGTTTGATTTTTTTTTTTTTTTTTTTAATATCTTCGACAGGTTTAGGAAATTGTGAGGGTAAATTGAAAAAGTGTTTCTGTGCTTAAAAAGCCTAATTGTTGTGTATATCAGTCTCTTGTCTGCTTTATACAGCTGTTTGTGCTATCTCACTGGTGTCTTTGAAACAATCAGTGTTTTTACAAGGGTCACTAATTTGGATTGGGATATAAGAAATAGTCGTTAGTTTTATGGGTAGTAAAGCTGAATATCATAATTTGCACTTTTAAATATTAAAATAAGCTGCTTCATTCTGTTTGTAAAACAAAATAATTTCAGTATGTTTGGTTCTGTAATTAACAAATGTAGAGTTGATCAAAAATATTTTCCCTAGTATGTGCTTGGAGATTAGGTTAGACTGTGTTATAGAATAATGTGATAATAATGATTTCCTTAGGAGAGTACAAAAGCAGCATCTCAGTTTCAGCTGACGTTTATTGACACACAGCACCAGTTGGGAGCCCCATCAAACTTCCTATTCTTTTCTGTTTACCACCTCCTGCTTTTATTTACAGTCATCATATCTGTTAATTAGCCTCAGGTAGAGCAGTTCTAAGAAGATCTCATGTCTTCCTGGTGATGGCCCCATGAGGTGACCATGTACACATGGTCTGTGAGTGAATTAATCTTTAACTCATTAATTTCAGTGAGAAGTTTAACTGCTGGCTTAGTTTCCTACTCAGCAATTTGTATTTGGAGAGTTATGGGCCTTAACTTCCATTGACTTCAATGTCATGAACATATCCCAGTGAGCTCTCAGCATCTCATGGTTACCTCCCTGGAAGTCATAATTTCTTGTATTTTTTTCATTTGATATGATTGGACCAGAATGCAGAGAGCTTGTTGGTGACTTCCAGGTAAATGCTCAGTATCACTGAGGTTATTTACCTAGTTTTTGTTGCATTTTTGGAGAATAAAATTACTCTTCCACTTACATAACTATCTCTGTCGCACAATATCTGAATGCAGCATTTTGCAAAAAATCTGATGTAATGAGGCAATGCCTGGATCTTGTAAGGGGATACTCTGTAGCTAACCATACTATTTTATAGTCTCACCAACCTCAGTGTGATAATACGAAGCTGTTTATAGACACAGATTGAATGCTAGAGGTGGTGGTTGTAGTGCGCTTCTCTCACAGCACAGCTTGTTTATTAGAAAAGGAAAAAGTTGCAGTTATTTGCAGGAAAAATTCAGGAGCATGATCTAGAGTTCTCCTGCCCAAGTCTACAAGGTATGCTAGAAGTGCTTTGAGAGGTGTGAGCTGATCTGTGCATCTCACTGGGGTGTTAGAAATCTTGTAGTTTCAGTGTTAATGGTTGTGGTTGTTTTATCTAAAAGGTAAGGAAAAAAAGGCTGAGCCACTTACCTGCACCGTCAACTGTAGGTAATGTTATGACCAAGTGATGACCAAGTTCCTCACTTTTGCCAGAATGCCATTTATTCCTTCTCCATCCTCCAGCTGAGGAGTAGCCAAATTCTAAAGACCTAAGCATTGGTTACAGGTGCACTTGAAATCCTGTCCAGAGCAAATGCAAGTGTGGAAAGCTGTAAAATACACAGTGTGGTAATGTGAGCATTTTCATAATTATTGAGAAATTTAAATTCACTGCTTCAGTTTAAAAAAAGCAATACTAATAATTAAAAAAATCCACCCACCCAACAGTATAATCTCTGGAATACATCCAAGTAGAGACCCGAATTCCTTTAAATCAAATTCCTAAGACATCCAGGTGTCCATGATACTGTGAAAAGAGAGACAAAAGTCAAAAATTGAAGGTGAATATTCTACTGATGGCTGATGGCTTTGGAGGGTTAGTGGTGATGCAGTGTTGTGACAAAAATCAGTGAAAGAGTATCAATGAAAGTTCCTGCCATCTTTAATTGTAAGAAGCCAGTGCTGACTAATCTCTTAATGTTTCATGGGGAAAGTTGACACTGAGAGGAAAAGGTGGGTGATGTTTCTTCAAAACATGAAAACTGCTTCTATGTATTTTGTGGTTGAAGGACAGAGAAATAAGAGGTTCTGGCATGCTGGCAATGTTTTCTAGAATTTAGTGGCACTTCACCAGTATTTTTTAA